ATTTTTTCTGCAAATTTCAGAATTTTCGGAACATTTTAAACAGATTGTAATCCATTATAATCGTTTATACTAGTTTGAAAATGAATTAGAAACGATTTAAATTCTTTAAAAACAAAGGATTATAAAAGATTGTGCGGTACCAAAGTGTAACTATAATCAAATATAATGGCAACCTCATTGCGGGTTAGTTAAATTTTTGCAAAGTTTTCCTCATACAAGATTTACCTATTTGCTTTAATTTTTTCTAATGTCTGTAAAAAACATCGAAAATAATCAAATTGATCAAAAAAAAGTTAATTGTAGTTTGCTTGAATATTTGCTTAGTTTTTAAAAAAGACACTTTGTTACTAAAAGTAAACTGTCGTTTTCTTGCAAGAGATTCACTTCTTCCCCTTTTTTCCCTTTTTTCCTTTTTTAGTCTTGCCCCCAACTCCTTCTTTGGGCGCGTCTTCTAATCTCATATTGCGAAAATCTCGCAAATCGTGACACATGTTGAAGTAAAATTATGATGACCAGTCGGAAAAAACTGAAACTTAACGTGATCAAAGTTTGAAATTCAGCGTGATCAAATTAATGACGCAAGTTTTCAATTTTGAGTAAGACTTTTAAAAAAAGGGTTTTTTTCGATAGAAATTTAAAAAAAAAAAATTTAGTCAACCAGACGGATACTTTTTGATCTTTCTTATTTAGGTTGATTATTGATGATTATATATATACTTGGTTTTCAGAACATTTGATTGGTTCTCAAAAAAATGCTATCATTCGTCAACATAATTTATGATTTTTATTATAATATAACGCATCGGGGTAATGATTGGCTCAATGCTTCATTAAAGTTTTCATTTCTTAGCTATGGCAATAAACCCATAAAAATTAAAAAAAAAACGAAAAAAAAATCGATTTTTCTTTCACTTTTTTTCAAATGCTCATCATTACTCGTAATATGCATGTTCGAAAGCAGCAAAAGAGAATTAGTCTTTTAACTTGTCGCCTTGGGGCGCAACTTTCAACGAACTTCTTCTCCGCTGCACAGGTGGGTTTATAAATTTTTCGGGCTTTGAGGGTCCGGCTTGAGAATCTGGCTTGTGGTCGTGGTCTTGTTCTTCATTTTTCTGGAGAACTACAGGAGTTTCGTCTTCTTTTGGCTCTAAATTTTGTTCTGGGTTTTCTGATGTTGTCATTTTTTCCTCAGTTTAAATGACTCTTGATGTAAGTCATCAGAATTATATTAGTGTCCGAATTGTATACATTCATATCCATTCACAAAAAATCATTTTCAAAATAAATGTTGCACTGGTGTTTTTCAATTTTAGTTTTTTAAATCTAAAATTGAAACACTAGTGCAATATCTTTCCTAGAATAATCAACCAAAAACAAATTTAAAAAAAAACATCACGTGTGTATGTTAAAACTTTTCAAATGTGTGTGTTTTGTTCAATTTTTTTACCTGTGTGTTACACCAAATAGGCAACAGCTTACATTGCATCTTGAATTTTGTTCTCATGTCGACACTGCGTGTCTCTTGATGCAACATTTAGTTTTTGCTTATCTACAAAATATTGCTTTAGAAGACAAAAAACAGGGTAATAAAAACAGCACTCGGTTTTGGTATATGGACTGAAAAAACTGAATGAAATTAGCACTAAAATTACTTTTTTGTATTCAATGAAACTTTATAATAAGCTTTTTTGACACTGTGGAACTAAGCAAAATGGTTTTTGCCATAATGTCTATTTAAAAAATTTTATGAACTCATTACGAGGCCAAACTGTGCGTTTTGTGCCTTGTAAGCGGAATCCGCAACAAGGACGCTACCTTTGTTCTTCTTTTGTTCTTTACTTTCCTTTGATCGTTCCGACAAAATTTTAACAGTTAAAGACTTGTCTCTGGAATCCAGGAATATACAGACCCAAAATTGTGCGCCTATCCATTGCACAGTTTGGACTGGTAAGACTTTTTATACTAAAAAACTGAATGATTAGCAGCTTTTCCATTAAAAAAATATATGAAAATGTATGGCAAGCATGTTTTACATAAAAGCAATTACCAAAACAATTTTTAAGCTTCTTTTTGAAGTTTTGTGTTCTTCTTTCGTAATAATTTGTCGGGCTGTTTAAGAATCTTCTTTTGATATAAATTTCTCATCGGTTAACTTGGTAGTTTCAGCGTAATTCTTGATTACCTAAAAAAGCCAAAACTACCCATTTTCTGGGGAAAATTTTGGCTGTGATTTTAGAGAAAAAAAAACTGCACCATAATAATTTGGCAGATCTCTAAGCAACTTTTGTTTTCTTCACTTTTTGTATAAAATGACCCAATTTGAGAAAAAAAATTTCAAAGATGTGTTTTTGTGTCCGGTTATCTTAAAACCAACCTTGTATAATAATTGATTGGCAATTTTTTTTCATAGTCCCAACATAATGAATTGTAAGATAGGTTTATTTTTGTATGGACGTCACTACGGGTGTTCAAGGCAGGCGTTCTATGTTGCGACCAACTCGAACTAAGTGTTTTGACTGATTTGCCATTATAATCCATTATATTGTACTTTAATTGGATTATGATCAATCTAAATTCTTCTTAAAATGGATTATGATAGGTTGTGGGGTCACAAAGTGTAATATAATTAAATATAATCAATTAAAACGGCAACATTTTTGAATGCGAAAAAAAGGATCATAAATCGTTGCGGGCGGACAGAAGAACTATTTGTTTTTCTTTTTCTCAAAAACACTTTGTGCTCTGTGTTCTCTGTGCGTCTTCCACGACTAGTGTTCTGACTTCGGTTATTGTTCCGACTTCCGAAGAAATTAAGGAAAGTATATGCTTGGGTTGGTTTTTTATTCAGACCAATTCTCAAGTATATTTCCCTCGGAGGAGCGACCCATTGATCTTCGTGGTCCCAGAAGGGTCGCACTCACCACTAGACTTGCATATTGTTGTGAAACTTTCAGTAATAAACTAAGATGACTATAGGAGCGGTGTGATACTTTGATGCTGAAAATTTAACGCACATTATTTACGCATGGCTAATTATCCCGCACCACAAAATCGTCCCAAATTCAATTGCGGCAGCTTAATCCAAACTCAATTGTGACGAATTATCCCACACAACAAAATCGTTCGAAATTGAAATTTTACACTTTGATTTTGTTCAAAATATATTGGTTTTCAATATTTTGTTTGGATCTACTTAACAATCTGCCCCCCCTCCCCCTTGAAGAAAGGGGGGAGGAGATTCTTTAGTAGATACAATAGGGAGAGGGAGATTGTTAAGTAGATCCTTTTCTTTTCCCAAAAACTATTCCATATGACTTGAGGGACAGCCAGAACATTCAGGGCTTTGCCCTGATATACCAGCAGTTATGTTCCATACACAATTCTTAATACAGCCTAAAATTCTTAGTTTGTCGATCTTCATTAACCAAAAAGTATTCGAGACCAGTTTATGAGCAGTCGAAACATTCGGAACTTTGCCCTGATATGAGCATTTTTGTTTTAATTTAGCAACGATTTGTCAAAGAGAACAAATCAGTCTAAAAACTACAAACATGGAATCATTTTTTCTCAGCACCTTTTCCAGGGTCTGGCAAAACAATCGCTAAACAACTTTATTTTACAACAAATTTTTACGCTTTGATTTTGTACAAAATGACGTTGATTTTGTACTACTGATTTCGTACAAAATGTTCCAATGTTTTATGTAATTTGCACACAAATGTTATTTTCTAATGTTATAGGATTTTCTTAGTCTATTTTAAATTATTTTTCACTCATTCTTACACTTTTTGAGAAAGATGATTTCGCCTACTTCGTAAATGAACTGAACTACTTCAAAAACAGCCAACACACTCCAGCCCAGCCAGAGGCCAATATTTCCGCCAAAATCACTGATAAGATTAACCATTTGATAGGCAGGACTTTCCGACATTTTCTCGAAATTCATCGTTTCGTAGAAAACCTCCAAACGCGCAAAATTTTGTCGAAAGTTTTCGGCTAAGTGTTTGTGTGAAATATTCGGTTGGTTGATCACGCGGCCGATGAAGTCTTGTACACGCGATGATCTCGACTTGATCATTTTTGAGGCAAAAAAGGGTGCAAAAGCGGTTGTTGGCCAAGGCGAATTTGACTCTCGTTGTGAAAACAAAGTTGTATCGCAACCTTGAGGACATTTTGAGCAGCTAAGTTGATTGTTTCTGTAGTTATTATAGACCCTCTGACGACATCTACTTTGAGTTTGATCAACTGGATCGCAATAACTTAGAGATGAATTATTAATATCGTCGTTATCGCTAAAATCGGTTTCATAACTATCGGTGCACGAACATTGAAGCGCCATTTCGTTTTGTAAGCAGTAAAACAAACACGTTTCTCGATCGTATTTTGGCCATTTTTTCTTAAATTCCGAATTGAAGTTCAACCAATCGGGCCATGTTTTAGTACAGTTTCCATATTTCCCGCCTTTTCGTGAAATTTGATTCATTCGTATCGACACGAACGTATTTAACCCTGCGCCAACGGCAAAACTTTGGGCCCTGACGTGTGGTCGGACTTCTGGATCGTTTATCATAGCGCGGGCTCCTGTGTTTTGGCCCAAAATTCCAATATACTCTGCAATATCCAGGAAAAATGTCAGTTTCAGTCCGTATTCTTGGCCTGTTTTTGGGTGTTTTTACTTGAATGGGCCAAAATGATGTTGACCTTACCGCTAAAATGTTCGAGGACGTTCAAATGAGTCGAAAAAAATCAAACTTTTTTTAGAAAAAATGCCAAAAAATTACTTTGAAAAGCTTTTATTGCCACTTAGAACCGATAGTGCACACGATTAATTTGATTTCAAGTTTCCGAAAAATTCGAAATTTGTGTCGAATTTATTTGTTAATTTTTAGATCAAAACAAATAGTTTTTTTATATCCCCCCCTCCATAAGCACAAAAAAGACCCTTTTTTGCCGATTTTTTCTGTGTCGCGGTGTCGCTTGAATTTCACTACTTTTGCTTATTATTTTTTATGTTTTGACGATTTTGAGTCGTTTAAGTAAAAACACACGCCTGTTTTGCTGCTGGATCGAATGAACAGTTTTTCAGATAGATTTCGGTCTAGGATTGAGTTGAAGCTGAAGCAGTTCCCATAGTAGGGATCTTGGAAGGTTTTGAACCAGGTCGAGTCACATTTTTTGTTGTCAAACGTGCATTGGACGATGAAATCATTAGCTAGTCGAACAAATAAAAGCAGATACTTTGAAAGCCCAATTTAATTTTAAAATAAAAATAAACCAAACATAAGTTTATCTTGAACAATAAAAAAATTAAATTTAGTTTTTTTTGCAAGAAAAAGTTTCGTTGCCAAAAATTACATTTTTCAGCTATGAACTTGAAAAAGAATAAAAATTAAGAAAAACGCTCTAAGCAATCATCTCCAGATTTAATGATATTTAATATGTATAGCAAAAAATGCTTTTTTTTCTGGAAAAAAACACGGTGAGTAAGATTAAATTTGTTACCAATTTTAGTTTTTAATATTTTAGCATTTTGAATTTTAATTATGACTTTTTGCATCAACTATATCTGCCTTAATATTTAAGTTATACCTTTATATCCGTTGTACTCTATTTCGCTTTCAGTAAAAGTAGTGGCCAGTCTGAAGTCCGAATAGTCTGGCAGATTCGACTTCTTGTACATAGAGAAATAGTCGTTACTGGATACGTTAAAGAACTGGTCTGTCGGGTTGAAGTTGTCGTAAAACGACTCGTATTCGGATCCCGAGATATAGGGCGCATACTCGTAGTCATAATCGTAATTAGTGACCTCAGAAGAACCTAAATGATGAAATGGGTGAAAATCAAAGACCAATGAAAGACAGAACGAAAAAAAAAATTTCAGAGAAAAAATCAAACCAGATTCTCCAGATGGCGTCGAAGCTTGTCGCCGGTGTCGAGTCGTGCTTTTTCGTTTCCGCATATTTTTGACGACTAACCCTTCGGCTTTTTCACCGGCCGAGTACAGGAAAGCATCTCGTTTTTGTCGTCGTTCGGCTGCACTCGACGAAATTGATTTGTACCCAATTCTAAAACCCTCCTCGACAACAGTAAAATCCGTTTTGAAAACAATCATAACTTCCGAGCCCTCGGAAATGACTGTCGGCGAACTTGGAGGCGAATAGCCGCAGAATCGTCGGTAATCTGAGATCTTTAGAACCGACGCATTTCTAGCACCCCCATTGTAAATCGTAATGAAGTCAATACAAGCGCCGGGTTCGCCCTCGACGAAAACTTCTTTAAAAGTTAGTTCAATTTTTTGGTCTTCAGGTGCGCTGATTATCCATTCACAGTCTAAATTATTCGAATAGTAATTTGGAAAATTTGCCGAAGTGAACTCTTGTTCAGTTGGAGTTGCGGAAAGATTAGCTTGACAGAGTGTTTTGGGACAACCAGCCGCTGTGCTTTCATCGTAGTTTGGTTGTCTAGTGCATTCTGCATAACCATCGCAGGGTTCCGCACAAAAATCTTCGCCTGGACATTGTATGTAAGGCCAGTTACAGATACCTTGATTTTCGGTTTGGTTGTTGTCTCTTTTTTCTGCTATTTCTGTGCAATTGAAAGGCATTTCTTCGTCGCTATAAAAAAATTCAGAAAATTATACCTACAAGAGACAAAAAGCAACAAATTTCTTGTAAGTTTGAAATAGGATTTCGCTAAAAAAACAGTATAGAAAAATCGACTACGGTAAGAAAAAAGTACAAATTTTGCTTGAAAAAATCTAAAAACTTTTAAAGGGTTTTTTTTATTAATTAAAATTCAAATCCTATCATATTCAAAAACCTATTCTCGAAATCTTGTATTGAAAAAAGTATTAAATAGGCTTACTGAAAAACACTGCCCAAATCTAGGATCTATTAAAAAATCCTTTCTGGTATCCACTAAGGAATCACCCCCCCCCCCCCCCCCCCCCCTCAGGGATTCGACCCCCTGCCGACCCAAAAGGTCCCCCCTTTGAACTATTTTGAGATATCCTTTTATATTTTTGGTAAAGGACCCTAAAATTTTTCTAAAAGCGCCTTCGGCGCCAGTATATACTAAAATTAAGGGAGGAGAGCGCGCCGAAAAAACGCGATTTTTTGGTAAGAAAATTTCAAAAAGTGCCTAAAAACGCCTTTTTGGCCTGTTAATTTTTTTAAAAAAATTTGGCGCTAAAGTTTTGGCCAAAACAGGGACTTTTTAGTGCTTCGTGAGAGCTCGAAAAATCAATTTGGTCAACCTAAAAAAAAGGTCGACAAAATTTTCGAGAACTTATACGGCAAAAACGCTAACTTTGCTGCATTATGATTGGTCGATAATTCGCTGGTTTATTGGTTTATTCTACTTAAACACCAGCCTTTCTTGAAAAAAAGAAGATTGTTACGTAGACTCTTGTACTCTCTCGATTTTGCTCACCTGTT